TCGTTGCACGTAAAATTATATAACGAAAACGACCGGCGCATCGAATAATACCGAGATTGAATGGTTACTTAAGATGTCGGCAAGTGTATAAATGGAGAAGTGACAACGGTAGAAAGGAATGAAGAACATCAAGATCGCAGTGTTCAACGAGCTCGAGTCCCTGAGCAATTAAATTGTCACGGAGTCTGGCATTGTTCTCGCTTTCTTCAATGAAACCGAATGTCCTGGAGTTTATAGAGTGTCGATTCCGTTTCATTGGAAAAACATTTCGACGCACGAGAACGATCGATCGATGCTTACTTTTCAAGTTATAAATAATTTAATTACTCGCTAAAAATGCCGGCAACATCCAACGTGAATGTGAAAGAAACGAACGATTATTAACAAGCATTTATCAGCCACGTCTTGGCAGGCATATTCGCACAAACATACTCGGATCGATGAATGATGAAACGGGATAAACGATATCGTAGACAGATACGATCTGTAAATCAATCTGTGGTCTTCGTACTGCTTTTTACCGACGCCTCGCCTTTCGAAACGATTCGAAAAGATTTTGAGATTTTTATCTTAACGCGAGACTCGTATTTTTCCGTGGGGCGTATAAAAATGCACGGCCGACTGTCACGGGTCCGTGGAAACGTTCGGGTAAAAAAAAAAAAAAAAAAAAAGAAAAAAAGAGAAAAGGAAAAGAGAAGAAAAAAAAACCAAAGTATCATGTACACAGCAATTCTTATTCAATAGATTCATATTTAAAAATAATTTCAGCTACAGTCGTGTCATTTAGAGTTTAATTATAGTTAGAAGGTTTTTTAAAAACCTATTGCACTTTCAATGTAATTTATTTAAGTCTGACGGGATAACGCGTGTATCCTAAATTTATACGGGTCGACTAATTTTTGAACTCTTCTGAGGCAACAGCACGTAGACCATTTCCGGATTATTATCATTCACTTTAAAAATAGAATCTCTCTCTTCAAAATCCATATTTCTCTTTCCCTTGTTTGGTGTTTGTCAAAAAACATCAGCAGAAATCAAAATGAGTCGACTCGTATGTATCTTTTCTGTAGTTTTTAATAGTTTTAGCCGTGGTCTTCAAATTTAACAAATTCAGATATAAAATTCAGAACAGAAATACAATGCAGGCAGATGCAACAACACAAATACAAAGAGCGTTCTTTCTGTTCTTTCGGTCTGATACAGAAAGCTTTTGTTACCTGTTATAGATAAAGATTGTTAAGATCAGAGGTTTCGAGGAACACGTAACCGACAATCATAAGAATCACTATACAGCATGCAAAAAGAAAAAAAAAAAAAAAGAAAAAAAGCATAACGATGCAATACAAGCTTACCACTTACCAGTTTACCCCCACTCCATGTACGCACACATAATGTGCACAATAAGCGAATACACATATACAGTAGTATCGTTCATAACTGTGCAGACACTTTGTAGATTGAGGGATAAGGATGAATGTAAAATGATTTAAATTGCACGTCATACAGGAAAATATGAACTGATTATCAGTGATAATACTTTATTTGAAATCACTGTTTCCTCATGCCTATATAGAACGAAATTTATAGTGATCTGTAATTACGCCCTCGTGCGCTCTCGGTCGAAATAATTTTTTAACAACTGATTGAAATTCATCGTATCGTTTTTCATCCTTAACATTCAACCACAAAGCATTATTAGATATTATTATTGTTACACTGTCCAGCTAATAAAAGCCTTTTGTAATATTTCGAATTCAAGACTTGATTTAAATACTGCTTTAGAATAGTAAATTTCATGTAACTTCTTACAATTTACTTCGAGATTAAAAAAGAAAAAA